GTAAGAAATGAATTTTAAACAGATTTATGGTAATTCAAGTGCACAGAACAGATTCTAACCTGAACCCTGACAGTTCTACTTCTTGTTCTGGTTCCACAGAGCTGCAGGACTTTATGTTGCAGTGAAATAAAAAACGAGTTCACAGTGAGAAAAAATGTGACGGGAGCAAAACAACTGCTGTGTGAAGTCCAGAGGGTTTGTTTGGTTTTGCTCACCTGTTCCTATTCCTTAGAAAGTTCAGTCTGTTCATGGATATGGGCTCCACTGGACACGTTCCACACCTGCAGCCACACGTCAGAACAGCTGATGCATGCTGGTCCACATGTCCACAGAACAATGAACCACGTCACTACCTCCAGCCAGTCTCACCTCATTCTGCAGATGAACGATCGCCGGGCTCCCATGGTCATCCTGGCCGACGACTGCTGGCTCTCCTTCTTCACCGTTCCCGTCTTTAAGTCCAAAACCCTCCCTGTAAACGACAACAAGACGTCTTTACTCATTCTCAAACCAGACGGTGATTTTCTCTCGGCGGCGCAGTGCTCGGCGTCGTACCCGTGTTGTTGTTCTCTGCGGTGGAGAGCTGCTCTGTGAGCTTCTCCGTGTCGTCCGGGTGGAGCTGGTCGTACAGGGAAGAGCCCAGCCACTCGGACTGGGACTGGTTCAGGACGGGTGTCAGCGAGTCCGACACGTAGACGATGCGACCGGTCTCACACGACACCACGAACAGGAAGCCGTCGGCTGCCTCCAGGATCAGGTGCTTCAGCTCCTGTGCAGTGAGGACCAAATATCGACCATGAACACAGTGCTGGTATGAATCTGCACATGACAGCTGTGTTTCCAGTTCAGACAGCAGCTGCCCATCACTGCTGTCTACTGCTGACTTGGACACGGTTCATACTGACATGAGCTACCTCCATGATGGAGTCACCAGGACTGTGACCTGGTTCCTAGTCTGGGCCAGTGTAGATGTCAAGCGGTCGCATTGGTGCGAGTGAACGATGATCATGAAGCTGCACGAGTGTCGCTGTGACCACAGCTCCTGTGCTGACCTCAGTGGTGGAAGCACGACTTTAATACCTTCGGTGTTCTGCGGTATTTAGACCTTAAAGTGCGATCATCTCGTGAAAAGTGGAACACACCTGAACGTGCTGTTGTTTCTGCTCATAGAAAAGACCGCATGTAGAGAAACTCACCGGCTTCATCTGGGACAATCTGACATTAGAACCTAGTTTATCTTTTTGAGGTCACCTTTGGTCACACACCTGTCTGAGTACCGTGGCCACCAATCAGCTTCTACCACAGCCGGCACTGTGGGGCGTTCAGGGACCGTCGGTAAATCATAGAGTCTATTGATAAGGAAACGTTTGTCCAGTCACGTGTTCTGCCCGTGACCAGGTGGAGGTGAGACCACTGAAAAATCCCATTTCTTTAATTATTTACTTTGCAAAAAATGGAATCAACCTGCCCAACAAAACTGCCTACAACCCATAATCCCTTTCTCTACTTCACCTCTTGCACCGTTGCCTACTTTGTTATGAGTCTTCAAAAACCCCTGTCTAAGTATTTTTGGTCACAGCTGAGTCACTCGTGGCTTCCTGGATGTGCAGTTTCTTGTTTTGTGCAGAATCTTTTCAGTGCAAATGGGACATTTTTGGCAAATGTCTTAACAAGACGTGTAGACTGAAGTGGTTTTGATCAGAAATTGAGATTTCAAGCTTAGATTTGGTTAATTTTCTCAACAGAGCCGACCGTCACACTTGATTTGTTCATTTGTTCTTCTGAAAGTTTAAAATCCAGTCATGTTTCTGGCTGATATCTGGAGATATTTTGGGGTTTTGGGGGTTCAGAGGCTCAACACAAGATAGCTTGTTTGTTTTCTGACCAATTTGCAGGCTGACAAAAGGGCTGAAAGAAAGACTGGCAAATTCAGATGACACCACCCAGCGCTCTAAAGACAGCCAGTTAAAATAGCAGCATGACATTTCACATGTGAAAGCTAACTTGCAAACTCGAAAGGTGTGACTTTCACTCCTAAATTACTCTGAACTGCAGTGTGGCTGTGAAACCTGAAGATAACAGATTTCTCTAAAAACAGAAATGCTGCCCACGCTCAATGTGCCTTTCAGTAAAGTTTTCCACTGAAGGTGTTCGGTGCAGCGGTCCTCATTACTCATTCTCTACGTTTCTATCAGTCACCTTATCAGTGAGAAACGAGGGTTTGTACGATCCATCTGCATTGGTGACGCCGCTTCCTCTCAGAGACTTCATGTGAGACACCGCCATTCGCAGGATGGTCAGCTTGTCGGGTTTCCGTGCCAGCGCGCTGCAGGTGGGCACCATGTCGGACAGCTCCGTGATGTAGGCGGTCATCTTGTTCCGCCGCCGCCTCTCGATCTCGCTGTGGTTCTCCCTGGAGCGAGGAAACGAGGGAGGCGGAGGTGGAGGAGAGGAGGGACCGAGATGGGGGAAACAGATGGGCAGGTGGACAACATGGAGTAGAGTTTAGAGTTAATGCTGCAATGCGAGTGTGCCGATCAGGAGGAAGAAGAGGTGGGAATGGTGAGAGCAGCAACGGACGCAGAAAACAATAACGTGTAGTCGATGGGCTGCAAAAATGAGAGTGAGGAAGCGAGAGAGGCTGGTCCGCCGAGGCCAGTTTGTGTGACAAAAGAGAGCAAGTGCAGGAAGAGAAAGACCCTTCAGTTGTCCTGAGAGGGGGGAGACAAAATAGACAGAGAGGACAGTTGCTCAAGAGGAAGAGATCACAGACTGAAGACATCCTGACTCACACAGCAGAGCAGTTAGTGACACACAACAGGGGTGTTGGACGAGACAACCAGCCGCCGCCGGCAGAGAAGCATAACATCAGGACAGGCACCGACAGACATGTACGGGTAACTCTGTGCTGTCAACACGACAACGTGCCGGGACCCCAGCAGGACAGGAGAGTATCTGATCAGAGCATTCAATGTCGATATGATACAAGCAGGAGAGGCAGCCTTCCACGGTGGTCACAGGCCATACCTGGCTAGCTTTTCCTTATCTGCAAAACTCTGATCTTCTTCCAAAAACCTGGGAATGAAACCAACCCACTAAAACACAGGCCCAAAAAAACGACTACAAAAAGAAAAAGAGCACAGGACTAAAAAAAATAAAAAAACACAGAGAGGGAGAGCAGCGTGAGGGAAACCGGCGTATCGCTATCATCGCTCCTCTGTCGTCCCTCCACAAACATCCACCTCTCCTGGTTTGTCCTCCTACCTGGCGAAACGCTCCTTGTCATTGTTGGAGCCGGTTGTGTCGTCGTCACACCTGAACAAAAACAGAAAAATCACTGATTGGAATCGCAGCAGAGCAGAACATTCAAACACCGGACGTCATGTAGGGCTGCACAACATTAGGAGAGTCCTGGTGTTATGAGTTTTTGTTTTTTTGTGATATTAAACAAAATACAGGAACTTCCACTGGATGACGAGAACATCTATTTGGAAAGAATAAATGTTTTATAACAGGTGATTTTGTTGGTGATCATCTGCACTGAATATAAAAAATAACTGTAAAAGTAGTTTCTTTGCTTTGGATGAAACTCAAAAGTCACACAGATCTTTGTGCTGCTGGTTTAAATGGTTAAACTAACTAGTTGTGCTGCCTCGTGTGGTTCAACGATGGCAGACAAAGCACCAGTTTTGATAAACGGAACCATTTCTGAAGCTGAGGTGCTTCCATGCAGCTAATATTGCATTCCTTTCAGCAACCAGGTCTTCTTTCTCAGAGTTTCTCTACCATTCCTACCTGGAGCCTGCATGTCTCCAAGAACCCTGAACACTAGAACCACCAAGAGGTCAACGCCCCCCTTTGTCATTTTAAAATCCATGTAAAAATCAAACATTTGCATCTCTCAGTTCCTCACTTTTCATGAAATGGGTTAATTAACCATCTGGACAATTAGAGAAGTTGTGGAAACATTTACACCTCAAACTGCTGAAGCATCATGTTTAGCTCCTACAGAAAACCACCTCACAGCGATAGCAGATAAATAGCTAGAGAGGAGACTAGAGTCAGATAAAAGATAAATAATCGTCCCCGGCTTGAGAAGTGAAAGACGGACTGCTGAAGAACCGGTGTGGCGACTGTCTGAGCAGAGGAGGGTGAAAGTTCAAACTGTGGAAACCCAAAATAAGCAGGTGCAGCGTGGAAAGTAAACTGGCAGGTGACGGGCCTGACGAAGGAGCTGTGACCTGGACAGGTGGACGTGGCAGAGCTGAGTGTCTGTGGGAGTCTTGATTACGAGAAGTAGGTGGATCTGCTCTGACCCCGACTAACCTGTCCCCCAAAATGTCGACTCACACTTCACCCCCAACGCCTATGAAACGGCCCAAAGCAAGTGTAACATTAATGGTTGTAGCTTCAGTTTACTTATGAGTTTTGAAATACATTTGACGCTTTGATCTCTGATAAGAGAACCAAAAAAAATCTGCTTCAGAAACATCATCTTTGTGATGACTGACAGCGTTCTGGAGTACTGGTCTGTTGGTGGTTCTAGGGTTAAATCACAGTAAGAGAAGTTCTATCAAACAGGCTCAGTTTATTGATCGTTCATGGAAATCTGTGCACGTAGTATTTTAGATGTCGCACGACACTTCTGTACTAGTTTGTCTCACTTCACATGCAGCCCTGCTGAAATAATAAAGTGTGCAGCCCTGAACTAATGCCACGTTACAGCAGAGAGAGGACAGTGTACCTGAACAACTTGCTTCCTTCATCATCGTCGAAGTCCGGCCTGTGACACGATGAAGAAAGAGACGAGAGCAGCTTCACACAAGTTCTCTCACAATAAATTCAACCACAGCTACTGAAAGCAAAAGTCAACCAGTCAGCATTTACACACAACGCCACACTGACACACTGACAGAACCTCCAGCAGAGAGCAGCCGAACTTCTCCTTTTGGTTTTTGAAGAAGATCTCAACCAAGAAAAGAGAAGTCTCGCTGCCTTTTCAGTGGAGGGCTGCCGAGACACGCCTGGATGACAATCTACACAGACACACATCCTGGCACAGAAACACTGCATTTATCATCAACACACACAAACACACACTTACGGAGCTCGTCTTTTGTTGCTGCCCTTCGGTACCACAGCCCCTCCGGCCGCCTGCGTCCCACTGGCCCCCAGACCCAGACCCGGGTCTGGCATGTCTAATAATAACAGCAGAGTGGAGCAGAGGTGACAGGTGATTTCCTATTCTAGCTGAAGCACCGGAAAGAGACACTGAACCAGAACTCAGAGGTCGAGCTGAGTCAAACACTCTGTGTTTTACTTCACATCCATCGTGTAAAGCGTTTCTCCACATCTACCACCCTTCATCTGTGTTTGGAGTCTGCTAGGCACGAAGCTGAGCTAGCCTCGTAGCTACATGTAGCACACATACGCTGCTAAAAACTACACATTTATACAGAACCGAAGCTCAGCAGTCAGCTACCTTAGCTTTCTCAGCTTAGCCCGTACAGATATCTCTCCAGAGAGCTGTGTTTACTGTCAGCTGGCCACTAATACCAGCTAGTTAGCGTGTTAGCATGCTACCGCTTATGCAAGCGCCAGCTAGCCTGGTTAGCCGAAGCTAACTGATCGGCTGCTGTCACGCTATTTTTAGGAAAGTGTCCGCTTTAGCGCCGCTCGACTAGACGCGTCTAACCGGCCAACTGCTGCACGTTACTACGTGACCAACCGGCCAATGTGACTTTAAGCTCTTCTTACCTGAATTTGAAGCCGACATGTCCGACTGGAAAAACATAAACAAATAACTTCCAGAAAAAAAGAGTCCTCGAACCCCCGCCCCTCCCCCGTGCTAGCCAGCTAGCTAAACGCTAACCAGCGTCTTCTCCAATTTCCTCCGGTCCGAGCTTTGACTTCCTGTTCTAAACACCCGCAGCCATGACGGATTAAAGTCCGGAGCGAGTCGATGGCTTGATCCACAAACACCAAGAGACGCTTTGCCTCCAGCGGCGCTTGTTTTCCTGTTTTCTGCCCGTTTAAACCCCCCTGTCCGTTTAAGATGGCGTTTCGGGCTAACACAGCAGTTACAGGGCTGTCCGTTCTGCTCTCCCATTGGTCAGCTCAGCCAGATACCGGTGACGTCACGCGTGCTGGGAAATCCGCCTCTGTTTCCGCCCGGGTGGCAGCAGAGGGCGCTGCCGGTCCGAAACCAAAGCGACACGACATGGGTCACCTTTACACCAAAACATCAATTTACCGAAATGATATTTATCAATTTAGATCGATCATTTATTTTACTATTTGGTTTATTTTGGCTGAAAACTACTAAAACAAGTCATGGAAGATTCTAATACGTTGTGGTATTTCAGATTTACTAGAAAACGCCAAAAAGGATCTCTACCTCATCCCCTATTCTGATTAGAACCTTTATTTTCCACCACAACAATTAAACCGTTCTACAACAAGCTTTCTGCACATCTCCACAGAGATTTGATCTGAATTATTCATCGGCTGTTAAAGACCCAGAAAGCAGCTTTAAATTATTCATATCAAGGTAAACTGAGCTGTGATTTAAGGTGATGGATTATTTGACCAACAGGTTTCTTCTGGCTGGAAGTTATGTGAACAAAAGACAAAAGGCAGTGATGATAACTTTTCACTTTTTTTTACACTGTATGTCTCATTTCATTGTTATTCACACTGTTCACTATTTATTCTCTTTACACTGCTCATAACTGTAGATACCTACTTAATATCCACATCTATATATTCATATATTAGTGTTCATACCACTTCAATTATCCATTATTCTGACATATTGTACATAATGGACTTTTGCATTCCTAGTTAGATGCTGAACTGCATTTTGTTGCCTTAATACTCTGTGCAATGACAATAAATTTGAATCTAATATTTCTATTTTTTGTACATAACAAACATAGAAATAGTTCAAATTCTTCACTAACATCTCCAACACATTCATGTTGTTGTCTTTAGATACTTGTTTATATCCTTCCCAGACAGATGAAACCTGTTGGTCAAATACAAATTAAGTATAAATCAAAAGTTGGCATATTTCTGTAAACGTTTTACTAAAAATGCCATGTGTTCTTGTGTTCAGTAACAAGTGTCAACGTCTTTGTTTTCCTCCACATCATTCAGTTGTTCCAGCTGCTAACAGTCTTTCTGCACGTCTTTATTGGGATTTTGTTCCAAATATTTTGAGCTGCAGGCCATAATTATTAAAAATAAAAATTCCAAATTAGTTGTGTTTAGCACTAAGTGCTTGTGCTGATGGCAGATATTAAACTTGTCATGACATTCAAATGTTTGGATGTAGTCCACTGGCTTTAAGCTTTCATTACAGGAAATATTCCACGATTCAGTGTAGAAATGATGCAGTAATGTGAATATAGGAGACATTCTGACTCATTTCCTGCTAAGCTGGTGTGTCTGTGGTGTAACTGCTGGTTTTGTGCTGCTGCAGACGAGACAAAGACACAAAAAACACCAACTTCAAACTGCTTTTCATTGTGATTCATCGTCTTTATCATTAATAACAATACTTCGGCATCATTAAACAAAAAAAACAAAATAAAAAATAACACTGTAATCAGGACACGGCCGAGTGTGGCGTGTCTCTGGGGAAGAGTCTGCTGGTCGGTCGGTTAGTAGAGGAACGTGGTCGTGGAATGAGGGTGAAAGGAAGGTGGTCTACGAAGAGAAGAGGTGAACGAGCGGTGAAGAGGAGGGTCGATGTGAAGGTCTGAGCCCGAGATGTGTGATTTGAGGTGGAAACAGGAAAGAAAAGGAGAGGACACGAGGACAGGAGAGCTTCCCACACATTACAGGTAAGGCACTTACGAAAGCTTTAAAGCGTGACGACAGAAAACTGGACAAACACTCGTCGTTCACAAATTCATCAAAACAGAATCAACAGATTTCTAAAAAAAACAACAACAAAAGCAACACTGTAAACCCATTTCATACACAGAATCACACCTAAAATCATTCATGTAGATCAACACTTTAAATTCTCAACCTGAAAAGGCTGTTCGGCAGTGAACTGAAGGAATTTGGCCCCTTTCATTCTCCTTATTAAAACTCCTATTGCAAACTGTTTTAACGTGTAATAACCTGACCACATATCTGTCATTTAATTCACTTTTACCTCCACGTGTTTCTCATTACAGTCTCTGGTTATCTGCGGTTTGATTCTGACTAATTCCAGATGTTGTTGATTCTGTTCAGTCCCACAGATCTGCGTTGCTCCTTTTAGGTCCGTTAATGAAGCTTCAACTGGTCAGAACGATGCTTTTGATATCTCCAGATGTAAGTACAGATATGTTGGGCTATAAATGCAGATATCTGTAGCTACGTCAGAAGCTGCAGCTTTTAGAGTTGGGACGAGAAGCACAACGAGTCCGAACTAAACGGAGTCAGAACGGAAGCAGAAACACGTGAAGGTGGCAGCAGTCTGAAATGTTCTTCACTAACTGAGTTACAGAAATGTGCAGCACACAGTCCAGATATTAAAGGTCAAAACAGTTCTCAGTACATCGGAGATATCTGCAGCTGGTCGAGATCTGTGACTGGTCACAATTATACATGTCTGGAATAGAGACTTTAAATCTGTGGACAGTGGAAGTAAAGCAGCTGGCCGCGGCGCTGAGCTGCTTCCAGGGATGTCAAGATAAGTCACATCTGCAGCAGCCTTTACTCTGACCAAACTGAGATGATACGTGTGGCTTCGACTGGTCACAATAGATTTGTGTAGCTTCAGAGTCAAACAGTTAAACAGGTGGCTAGTAGTTAGTAGTGTTGGTGTTTCTGATGAGTCGTATCTGCAGCCCAGTCCAAACTGAATTACTAGCTCTAGTTCTAGCTGGTAAAATGATGCTGCTGATGCCGGCAGTTTATATTCTAGATGTTCAAACTCAGCTGTTGAACGTTCAAACACCTGGCCACAGCGAGGAGTGTCAGCACTATAAGAGTCTGATGAGTCGTATCTGCAGTCATCAGTCTGTCTAAAGTGAATTACACCATCTCTAGCTCTAGTTCTAGCTGGTAAAATGATGCTGTTGATGCCTGGAGTTAGATTCCAGACAGTCAAACTCAGCTGTTAAACATTAAAACAGGTATTTATAGTGTTCAGGTGTTTAGTGAGGGATGTCAGCGCTGCTCTAGAAGTCGTATCTGTTATTCTAAATAGTCCAAACTGACAGCTGTGATTTTAAGTCAAGTGACTCTAACTCAGCAGTGAAGCATTAAATCAGCCGGCCAGCGTTCTGGACGTCAACGCTGAATGATGAGAGTGTGATCAGTGTCAGTCGCCGTTATTCTGACTGATTACAGAACAGTTGGGTCAGAACCACGCTACAGGTTTCCCTAATTTCAAATCAGTCTAAGCTGTTAGATGTTTAAACGTTTATCTGTCGACCTTCGTGATGATCACACTGAGTCGCTGCTGCAGCTGAACCAAAGAGGAAAAACACATTGGTTGGTTTCTCGGCCAGCGTTCGTCCTGAACTCTGGCTTCTGGCGAGTGTTGGCTGCTGGAACAGCAAAGAGTTGTTGGAAGCAGGGATTGTACAAACGGAACAGAAGTCAGTCGCTGTGAACTAAACTCAACATGAGAATACCTCCTAGACGGCCCAGGCCACGTCGGATATTATTACTTCATTTAAGAGACACTGAATGTGTGTGCAAAGACATCGCAGTAGCTGAACACTTACACAGTTGCATAGACAGAAAATTAGGGAAATAAATGCCCCGTGGTCTCGCCTTCATGAAACCTACTTCGTTTTGTTCTTTTAGTAAAAAACAGACACAGAAACAACAGAATAAAGCAACACAATTTTAAAGCAGGAAGCTTTAAAATGGCTTTTCAGCAGCCATGAGCTGGCTCTAAGGCACACAGTTAGAACATGAAAGCTAAAGTAGAAGCAGCGCCCGTCGGCCTCCTCCTCCTCTCCGGTCTCTCACCTGTTCTCTGAAAGGTTTGGGACTAACAAAGGCAATGGTGCGTCTATCTCTGATGCCCCGGATGTGTCTCCTGCTCATCTCTGTGCCCTCTAATGAATGTGTGTGTTTCTGTGTTAACGTGTCACATGTCCTCAGATACCTGCTGATCCCTCCACACCTCTTCCTGTCCGTCCCTCCCGCCGAGGGACTCGAGTCCTTCTCACATCCCTTCGTCTGCCTTCACTCGGTCTTGCTGTGGTTGTTGTTGTGGACGGCGTGACCGTTCTGCACCGGCCCGTTCTTCTTCACGTGGTTTTTAGCTTCGGCCACGTCGTCCTCCTCCTCCTCCTCCTCCGACTCGTCCGTCTCGTCTTTGTCGCTCCGCTCGTCGTCCACTTTTTCCTGAAAAAGAAAAACGAGAACAGAGTCTGGTTGGAAACATGTCGCTGATTGGAGAGACGTCAGAACTCAGACTGTCTGGCTGCTGTTGCACATCTGGAGACGAGCCTGAAGACGTCTGTGGACTGTTGGGCAGAAAACCCAGAACCTTCTCGCTGTGAGGTCAATATAAGGTGTAATACTTCGTCAACATGTCGACCACTTCAACCTCACATGCAGTATTTCATATGAATGAATAATATTTCAGTATCACGTGTAATACTACTTTCCTACCTCGCTATCGTTTCCAGTACTAATGATAACTTCTCTATTCTACTCTGGTTTTAGTTCACCTGTTTTTATTTCCGGTAACGTATCGTACTCTTTACTAGACATTACTTCTCATGGTACGTAATTGTATTTTCTGTTTTATTTAATCTCCTCTTATTAGCAGCACAGAGTATGTGAAGCAGCGATCATAGGTTCATTACAGAAGCAGGAACCGATCTTTCTGATTGCTGAGTTGGCAGGTTGCTGCAACAGTTGCTGGTTTATCACGGAGCAGCCTCATAGTGATGAATGAGGAAGAACACAAATCGATCCTACTGTATGTTTAGACAGGAAACAGCAGCCATCATAAAGAGCATCCAGGTGCAGCGATGATCAATATCTTTATTGTCTTTATCTTTATTGGGCTTAAACGAGTCCGGAAGCCAGAAACACAACTTCAAATGAACATCAGTGCTGCTGTGTCAATGTACATCTAAATAACAATAAATAAACTGTTTGTCTTTACGACTAACTGATGGATTAAATGTATGATAAAAATAAAACGTTCAGACTGCTTCGGTGACAGAGGAGCTGGTGGAGACCAAAAACAGAGATAAAAGAGAGTAAAAACTGGACTTCACTTGGTCCAGAAGCCAGAAACACAGCTTTAAATGGATCGTAGTGCAGCTGTGTGTCTAAACAACAAGGACCTGTTGGTCACCATGACTTTATCATGTGTTATTATGGTGGTTATTTGTTCACTTTGCTTCGCTTTGCTCAGTGTTTAGCATCCAAACTAACAGCCGGTTTGATTTTCTCTCAATTTCAAATATTTCAAGTACAACTTTTTTGACTGCATGTGTTGACGTTTGCTCACGTTGTTGGTGAGGAAGCGCACGGCGATGCGTATGATGAGAACGGCCCAGAAGACATGGAGACACTGCAGAGTCATCAGCAGCCCGTTGAAGAAGTAGTAGCCGAAGAAGGGCTCGTAGATGGTCACCGGGTAGACCCACGTACAGTAGATGATCCTGCAGCAGATCAAAGAGCAGCTAACAAACCGCAAATCTACAACCAGCAGCATCTAAAAGATGAAGCGTGGGTTCGTACCAGAAGGGGAAGATGACGAGGCGAGTGACGATGAAGACGGCGGCGAACACGATGAAGATGTAGTTACAGGCGTTTCTCCAGCCAGCATAGTTGAACATCTTGGCAGACTGTCAGAGGAAGACAGAAAACGTCATCACACAGCAAAGTCCCAGCAGACAAAACAGGATTAATTAACAGTCTAAACCACCGAACCCTGGTGTGAAAGGCACGTTGTCTCCAAAACCACCAGACTGACACCAGTTAGCAGCCAGGAACCGTAAAACCTGAAAGATTTCTGACTTTCTGACCGTCTTTGGACACGTGATGTGGTTTCATCAAGAAAGTTAAACCAGATTTAAGCCTAAAATCAGCGTAATTTAACAAAACAACATTCTAAAATTCACCAAAAACAATCCATCCATCATCTCTACACCTTCATCCCACCAGGGGGGCGGAGTCTATCCCAGCTGACTCAGGGTGAAGGCAGGTTCACCTGGACAGGTAACCAGTCTATCACAGGGCTACACTTAGAGACAGACAACCAAGCACACTCACATTCACACCTACGGACAATTTACAATCACCAATTAACCTCAGCATGTTTCTGGACTGTGGGAGGAAGCCGGAGAACCCGGAGAGAACCCACGCTGCACGGGGAGAACATGGAGACTCCACGCAGGAAGATCCCGGGTGTCCTCACCGGGACGCCAACCGGGGACCTTCTAGCTGTGAGGCCACGGTGCTAACCACTGAGACACCTGCAGCCCCCAAAAACAAACCAGATTCTGTAAAAAGCTAAATACTCTGAGCTCCAAGAAACCTTCACGTCTCCAACAACAGAACAAGTCAACAGTCCTTCTTTTCTCCTTAAACACAACTGGTACAGGTTTTAGTTTCTGTCCATCACATAATTCGCCATCTTTAGAACTTTTAACTCTCTGAACCCCAAAGCAGGTTTTAAAGGAAGTTATCTTTTAAGAAATGACAGAATTTATCAGCCAAAAACAGTAAAAAATGATCAGACTTTCAACTTTCTAATAATCCATGAAGGTATCACCTGTGATACGAAACGACACAAGACACGAAACACAAAATGACCACAAAGAGACACAAAGAGGTAAAACAAGACACTAAACAAAAAAGACAAGAAAAAAAGAGACACAAAATGAGAGAAATGAGACATAAAATAAAGAAAAATGGAGCCAAGACGACCGAAAGCAACAAAACTGTCCCAAAGACACACAAATGATGCAATGAAGACCAAAAACCAACAAGAACGAAGCTGTAAACCCTAAATAGCTGAATATCTACAGTATGTGGAGCCTCTGTTGGTTCCAGTGTTGGTAGCATCTGTGGAAACATGCTGATGTTTTTTCAATTTCTGTCAGATAAATATTCAAAGAAATTCTCCTTTTCTTCTGATTTGTGTCTCACTGTGTCGTCCTGAAAACAACAGCGAGTTTCCTCCACCAGGTGTCAGCGTGACATCAGTCCGCTGCAGACGTTTACCTCGAGGAAGTAGTCGGAGGAGTCGTGCACCAGCATGATGAGAGTTCCAGCACGGATGTAGTTGACGCACCAGGAGAAGCTGATGAGGAGGATGGTGGCCACGTGGTGGACAATCTGCTCCTTGAAGTCCTGCAGACAAACAACATGGTCAGAAACCACCAGCTCACAGTTCACAGGGACGGTTCACTGGAGCAGCAGGTTCAGGACAGAAACAAGAGCCGGTAAAACGATGTGTTGCAGCTTTGGTGTGATCCAGAAGGTTCTACTTGGTTCTACCACACTATGAAGGCAGAACAGCTGATGCTGCGCTCTGGTCGGTTCCAGGTCCAGGATGAATCCAAACAGCTCAGTGACATAAATGTGTTTTATATTGTGAATACAGGATTAAAGTCCTCATGCAGAAGGTTAGACTGCTGATGGACTCTGTAACGGAAATACTCAAATACACAAAACAACAACAACAACAGAAAGAGTGAAGCTGTGATGTGAGCAGCAGGTTTCTTCTGGCTGGAAATGACATAAACTGTAAATCATTCTCATGGCACTGCTGCACATGCTGCACACGCTTTCCTCTGTTAACGAAGCGCCGCTGTCCGTGTTGCATGTTGTCCATATTTACATCACACTGGTGCTCATGATGCATCCTGGTTGGACGGTTTCTGCATTTCGTTGGCAACAACAAGTTGAATCTACTCTAAATAAGTGACACAACACAGTAAGACACCGTGTTAGAGACGTTAATGATGCATTTTTAACTTTTATTTTTATTTCTAAGAGTGTTCTGATGCCTGCTGATCAAATTAAAACTCGACACAAACACACATGTTGCTGATGACTGTGAATGATCTGTGGATTGACTGGACTTGATGCAGCAGTTCACAGGGTGCAGTTCAGATGTTTTTAAATGTCTTCTCGATGCCTGAAGATATTTCATCAACATTATAGAAAATCCTAAAATCACACATTATGTTGTGGAGCTTCAGTGTTCTTGGAGGTTCCTAAAACTTTGGCTGTGAACCGCTGATTCTACTGTGATGTAGAAACAAACACAAACTTGATCGACAACCTGTTTAACACAACGTTTACTGTGTGTGTTTGTGTCACTTCCAGCCAGAGGAACCTCTCTGTGGATGTGAACACTGTGGGGCTAATCTGTGGGTCCGTGCAGCTAAATCCAGCTCAGCCGGTATCTGGGTTAACGTTTGTGCTGCAGAACCACACGGCGGCTGTTTGGCAGCATCCCCCCCACCGAGCTCAGCTGAGCAAAGTCCAGAACTCTCACGTCCATACACGTGTAACAACAGTCTAACGTCCACCCGGCGCTCAGCACATGTTTGACCCGTCAGATAACCAGGACTCAGCCCATCACCGAGTCGCTCACACGCATTCTCCTTCGTGTCTTGTTGTTCAGACGAGTCCACTTACTTTGCGCTTGACGTCAGAAGCCACACTGAAGAGCAGCGAGCCGTAGAAGCCCAGTTCGATCATGTAGTACCAGTACTGGGACGGCAGCAGCGTCTGCAGGAGACGACACACATCTTTAAATCCATTCTGAGAGCTGCAGCAGCAGCTTCCTATCATTCACACCATCGATTCCAGATACTCGGAATCAACTTCTGAGCTTGAAAATGGTGAGAAATGTTCAGTGCACGTTGTTGAGTCGCAGGTTTTGGCTCATGAGACCGACAGAAGCAACAAACAGAGCAGAGTGGAGGGTTTTATGGTCCATCTATCTACACATCAGGACATACTGTCACCTCCCGCTAGCACGTTAAAAAAACAGGATCAAAATGCAGTTTAAATAAAATGAAATAAAATAGAGTATATCTAAAAGCAAACA